GGACTGGCCTAGGGTAATTTTTAGAGGGGTTTTAATTATATTTTAAATTTGACAAATATTTAAATATTCCTTTTAATTAATTTTAAATTTGTACTGTTATTTATGTATTTTAATTGATTGTCAGCCGCCCTGAGTCCTACGGGAGAAGGGCGGGATATAAATCCAAATATAAATAAAATAAATAAATAAATAAATAAATTAATAATTGCTAGAATAATGAGGTAATGCATAATCACTGGGAAAATTCACTGGGAAAGTTCTCTGTCAGTAATATGTGGCTAACCAAATGCGCATTGCACATGGATACTTTGTATGTAGCAAAACCTTCCATTGTATGCCCATGAGAAACGATCCAAATGTATTACAGTGTATTACCATGTGTAGTCCCTTTGTTCCTGAAAGGAGGGTAGTATAAAAACTGAAGTCTAATCCCGCCCTCCTCGTTCAGAATTGCCTATCTCTATATGCCTCTGAACCTGCGCAAATAAACCTCTCTGCTAAACCCCTCTGGAATTCGTAAGAGTTCTTTCGTTTTCCACAAGAAATGAATGAATGAATGAACGTTTATTATCAAAGTACAACATGTAGACAATGAGATTGGCTGAGCCTCCCTCCGTGCCCCCCCCACCACACTCACAGTGACAACAAACCCACCAACTTATTACACCCTGTGAGCTAATTGCACAGCATGCCGGCCTCACAAGTCTGTCATGCATGAAATTATTATGTCCCATTCAAGAGACTGACAGCCCATGGATAAAGGCTGTTCTTCAGTCTGTTGGTACGGCTGGCTATGTTTCTGTATCTCCTACCCCAGGGGTAGGCAACCTTTTATGACTCGTGGACTTCAACTCCCAGAATTCCTCAGCCAGCATGGGGGAACTATGGCCCCTTCATGACTCACAGACTTCAACTCCCAGAATTCCTCAGCCAGCATGGGGGAACTATGGCCCCCTCATGACTCGTGGACTTCAACTCCCAGAATTCCTGAGCCAGCATGGCTCAGCTTGGAAACCTCTCCCTTTCCCCTCAGTGTGGCTGGCTCAGGAATTCTGGGAGTTGAAGTCCACGAGTCATAAAAGAGCCCAGGTTGCCTACTCCCGTCCTACCCAATGGTAGGAGAGTAAAGAGGTACCAACCAGCGTGAGAGTCATCCCTGAGAATTTTCCTCACTCTACCAAAGCAACGGGCCCTGGCGATAGTCATCCAATGGTGTCAGGGAACAGCCCACGATGTTTTGTGCCGTGCTCACCACCCTCTGTAATACCTTCCTGTCCGTGGCTGTCAAGCCAGCATACCAAACCACAATACAGTATGTATTGCCCACCCAGTGCCACAAGCTTGTTTTGAGAACACCGGAAGCAGCACAGGACAGATAATGGTTCGTCTTCAGGGCACAGCGACCTTGGAGTCAGGCTGGAGCCTAATTCACAAGCATCTACGGCAGGGGTCTTCAAACTTGGCCCTTTTATGACTTGTGGACTTCAACTCCCAGAATTCCTCAGCCAGCATGGCTGGCTGAGGAATTCTGGGAGTTGAAGTCCACAAGTCATAAAAGGGCCAAGTTTGAAGACCCCTGGTCTAGGGTCTTACAGCAAAAGCGAAAGTATGCAGGGCTTGGCAGAGCAATGCTCTTCTGCACCCCCTGGGAAAGGGGGGGGGGCACCCAGAACAGCTTTGCACTACTACGGAATTCCCACGGCTGTTTCCTAAAGCTGCTGGACCTCATCCTCTCCTTTGGGAACCGGGGAGTCCTCCGGTGTAGGTCAAGACCAGGACATGTCTCGGTTCAAAATCTGAATGTCGCCCATGGCTGAAGTGATCAGCTGGTGGAGGAAGAGAAGAGAAACTGCAGGCAAAAGTTTTCCTGGAGGGCGAAGTTCAGAGAGAAACACCTAATTAACGGAGACGTGGCCCTTTGTAGAAATTAAGATTTTATTACTGATTTAGAATTCAAAACCAACACAGCGCAGGCAACTTGGAAAAGCAAACCTGTCTTAGATACTCAGTGATGTTCCCGCCCTTTCCACACTTTGGGTGTTCTGCCCAATGCTGTCAACATTTGCTCCGTAATTTATTTTTTTAATGATGGAAAGAAGAAGAAGAAGAAGAAGAAGAAGAAGAAGAAGAAGAAGAAGAAGAAGGAGGAGGAGGAGGAGGAGGA